AAAAAAAAAAAAAATCATAAATAAATAAATAAATCCAGCCGATATCCTGCCCTCCTGCCTCTAACCTCCCTGCTTCCGCTTGGTCTAATAATTAAAACCCCTCCGCAGTATTTTTTTAATACGGGAAATTATGCACAATAGACTGGAGGCAGGCTGAAAGACTGGGGACGGGAGGAGGAGGAACGGAGAGCCCAGCGAGCCAAGCAGGAAGAGAGAAGAAAAAAACACACACACACTCATACGAGCGGGCAGAACGACGCTGTCAATAATTTCTTAAACCTATACATTTATATGGCGATCAAGCTGCACTTTACGCCATCTAGTTCCGTGTGTGCTTTGGGACGTGAAGACGGAAATCGTCCCCCACAAACATTATCTCGTAGATTAACCAGGTCGCTGTTTTTTAAAATCAGTATTAAAATAAAACTTTTAAAATAACACAAAAAGGGAAGAAAAAAAAGATAACGGGGAGTGCGCGCTTTCAGCAGGTCTGACTCGGAAACAAATATGTAAGAGGATGGTGAATTCACTCCACGCCCCCATGCGTAAAAACGCCGCTTTCAGGCGAAAGCCCCGTTTGTTTACATGACAATTAAGCGCTCCAATTAATAGCGCGATTATAATACATCAAGCTGAACGTTACCTCGCATCTTCACACCGACTGATCCTTCCTCTGCTTTTCCGTCCGAGCTCGCACCAAAACAACCCTCTCCCCAAAAATAAAAAATAACCACTCCATAACAACCTCAAAGAACAGGGGGCGAGCCGTGACTCCGGCTATACTGACTATACTCTTTATATTCCCCACGAATAAAAAAAAAAGTCCTGTTTTCTAACTCTTGTGCCCCCCTGTGTGTTTTCAACCCATGCACACAAATTATGGTTCTTGCAGGACAAGAGCGCCTCCATCTCTCTCTCTCTCCTAGAGGCTCGTGGCGCAGGGAGTCCCTCCTCCGGATCCTGGCGCTCCTACACCACAACACTCATGACGTATCAACATTTCACACACATTTTTCACCAACAACTCTCGCAACCTTTTGGACATGCATGGCCACCAAACTCGCACACCGTGGCGCACACAAGGTTGGGACCCGAGCCCCTTGTAAGTGCTCCAAAAAGAGCAGCTTCCCTCCCCCTAAAGCCTGCAGCCGACTCGCCCTGCAAAGTCCTTCTTCAGTTTGTGCTCCACCACCTGATTTAAAAATTGCGGGAAATTCAATTTTTATTTTGCTCTCTAAAAACTTTTTCCTCAGTTATACAGCACCCTTACCAAATTTTCGTACGTCCCGGGGTGTTCCTGCCCCGTCCAGTCCAGCCTTTTGGGCAGCAGCTGAGGTGGAAAAACAGTGTGGACCGTGATCATCCAGTTTATAGACGTTACAGGTGATGTTTTAAAACAGTAAATGGTAAATCAGAGTCAAAGCAACATCACAAAGTACAGTGCAGAGAGAAGCATCTCTCTCGTGCTGCTGACTGCTTACCTCCTTCTCCTCCACCTCCCTTATCAGGGTCTGAAAATAGCATAAAAATACAGAATTACACCTCGTGACAATTGCCGACATATTATAAATTCTCCTAAAATGCGAAAACACCAACCTCGGCTGCTTTTTGACACGGTCCAGCTTCTAGAAATCGGGCTATTAGGAAGTACAGTTCTGGTATGGTTGGAGGGGGAGAAGAGGACGGGAGCTGCGTTAGAAGAGGGCACCGAGGAAATTGGGGGGATATTACAACGACCGTGACATAGTTTCCGATCTCCTTTACTCACCAGAAGTCAACTGCGCGATGTGTGTACTGTCTGAAGCCATTTTGGTGTTGTTTGCCAGGGCAGCGCCAGAGCCTGTGTGGTGGGTCTAGGTGGCTGCCCTGTAGCTGTCACTGTTTATCCACCAGGAAGAGGCTGCCTCCATTCAGCTTCGCTCGCACGAAGTCCCGGCTGCGGGAGTATACCTCCGCGGAGCGATAATTAGTGCGCGCTGAAGGCTTCACCCCGCCAAACACCGCCTTCCTTTAACAAAGACCGAATGGCTAAATTGTGGCTGTACTGAGCGCCGGCTGGGGCGAATTTCACTTACGACCGGTTTGCCGTGGAGGCATGTTTGTTTTAATCCCCCTCCCCCTCAAAGGAAAAAGCGCAAGCCCTCTGCGGAAGAATACAGGCGCTGTGGCTCACGTGCGCCGCCGTCGAGGGGAGGTAGAAATGGCAGCCTGCTAAAGGAGAGGACACATTGCTGCAGAATGGCTGTTATTCTGTAACTAGACGGCATTTATCACATTTTTATTCATTAGAGTCCATTCCTCTGTCATTTAGTGTCTATTGCGGATTACCACAGCCTAATTCTTGCCATATTTTTTTTCTGTATATTCGTAGCTGGCGGGTTCAGAACATGGCTCCCGTGTTTGAGAGGGATTTACAGGCGAGCAAACGTTTCAGCTTAGTTTATCATTATTATTTTTTTTATTATCAAACACCACAGCTAGCCTGCTCTCTTATCAGCTCTCCGTGTTCTTGCTGCTGGTCTCGCTTGTCGTAACTTTGTCGCTATTGTGTAATAAGATGTCCTAGCTAACACACCCACTCTCTCAGGGAGCCGTTTGGTGGGGAAGTCGTCCATTTCTCTTCCAAATACTACCAGGCAATAAAATGGGGGAAGGGTTGGAGAAGGGGAATGCAGCTTAATGAATGAAACCCCGTGAGTTACAGCAATTTAATGGCAACCGAGACACTGAGACAAGGCACACACATCAAGGGGTATTATCAAGGAAATGCATGACAGGATGCCTCGGTGACAGCTGTGAATGAAAAAAAAAGGAACAGCAACTCTTTGGTGTTAATTTTTACTTTTTAAAGTAAACTCACAATAATATGTGTGCAAGGGACGTGCATTATAGTTTTATTAAAAGCCACGTCACCAATGACAAACAACCCCTCCTGGTCTAATCTTATTTCCCACATTTAATGTTTACTGCTGCAAGTAAGACACAAATGAAAGTGAAGGTAAATACACACCACACGTGTTTCAGATCATTTTACAACAGTTTGGAGTTTTCTTTTTCGAAATATTTTGCCACATATCTTCTGTTTTTTTTCTCTTTTCACTCATATCTATAGCCTACATGTGTGAAGTTGCCTATGTGGTACAATTGAGCTAAACTGAAATATCCACACCCACTTACAGTTGTATATAATTCAGTCTACCTGCACAACTGATTAACACTAGTACAGAAACATATCACCTCTACATTTTAATTTCTTCTTTATAAACTATTTCAAATCTAACACATCAACAGTGTGTCTGGGAAGATGCTATAAGGCTTCGTGCTTCTAAGAGTCAACTAAATTTTTTTGTCTATTTTAAACAGAGTAATGCCATTCTATTTGTAAAACTAACAAGGTGTAACTCAAATAAAATCAAGTGTAACGCACACAAATTCGGTCTGCATCAACACTTTCCACAACTTTGTCATTTATGTTGCATCGTTTGGCAGTTATGGGTTCATTTTGTCAATGTTAAACACAAATAATACAACATTTATAGGCTGCCAGATGGACAGGAACTCAACAGAGAGTGTTCTCATCACCAGTGGCTACACCACCTACCATTATTCCATGTCAAAAGCGTTCTGGCAGATAGGTGGGTGGACGATTACTCTGAGAGGAACAAGCAATATTTGAGCTTTTCAAAAATCCACTTTAGTATTCTGACCCTCCCCTGACAGAGTTTTCGATCTTCTCTTCCAACTGTGCGCATCATATCAGGCCAGATTAAACTGTCCATCCATGGACTTCACTGATTGGGTGTAATTTGACCAACAAATTCTGTATATATTTTTTAAAGCACAGAAAAAAAGTTAAAATAATACTTAAAATATTTAGATGATCAGTTATGGGTTTTTCAGCCTAATCATTAACTTGTATTTTACCGGTTGACCTGAACCCTTATGACTAAGTTTATTGTGTGGGCTGACACCACCACAAGGAGGCAACCTCACCATGTGTCACTTTACGGGCCGATGAGGAGTCAAAGGTTATGAAAAGATGCAATCATTTACAGGTTTTCTTTTACTATAAATAGCTCACTGATAAATACTGATCACATTAAAAAATAGATCTGAAATGGTTTGAGGTTATCTTGACAACAGTCCACACAGAGATACTTGTTTATCCACACCCTTGCAAATCCACACCCTTTACTAAACTTTGCCAGATAGCTTAAAAATCCTGTGAGGTGTGGAAAATTACTTGGCTTCAACACTCTTTGCCTGCTAGAGACAATCATCAGACAATCAGGACTCTGATGTCTTCACTAGTTAGAAAATAGAAGTTTCAGCTAAGTACTTTTGCAGCCACGTAACCTTTCTCATATCTTTAGTCTGGATTCAATGGTCTGCTCTGTGGGTTAATACAATGGCTCTTTTTTAAGTGTCAGTGGTCAAATCTTTCACTACTTTTGTTGAGACTTGTCATGTTTACAATACTGTGACTCTGCTACGTTCACAGAGGGTTGTGTTTGCATTGCTACACTTTTTCTGAATTTCTGAAATTGTCTCACTTTCAAATTCCCTGCATATTTGAGTAAGTAAAGATGCTACAGCTGACAATGAAACGAATAAAACCACCTGAAACATGAGTCAAAAAAAAAGGTAAATAAAAAATTAAAAAGTAATAACAAAATATAAAACTAGATCACTAAGGGTGGTTGAGTGGTTTGCACCATAACCTTGCATCTAGAAGCTCCTGGGCTGATGTGCCCTGCTTTTGGCCCCATGACAGCTGGGATACATTGAAAATAAAATTCTGGTCAAAATGCTTTAACTAATTTAATCACATGTAAATTATCCACATAATTTTATATAATGTAAAACGATAAATTAATCAAATCTGCTCAAAAGAGATTTACTTGATTGGTATACATTCAGCTTCTACAGCTCTTTAGTGTTTCGGGTTCTCTGTCCTGTGTTTGTCTTTTATGTTTGCGATTATTTTAGAGCACTTTGGTCAGCCCTGCTGTTTTTTTAAAGCACTTTATAAATAAAGTGGTATGGTTAGGTAAGCATTTGAATAAATCAAACCTTTTATTGTATATATTTCAGTTTCATTTTATTCAAAATGATTGTTTCATGTTTACTGAAGGTGAAAAATCATTTTTTGGGAGTTGGCAGCGCAACCCTAAACTGGTTAAGTGGTTAAGAAAATAGAAACATTGTTGTTTAACAATGTATTAAATGAACTTGTAAATTAAATGTGACCAAAAAAGGACACTAGAAGGACATATTTGCACAGAGTTGGAACTTTCTGATACATTGCACCCATTGATTCTTTGTGGGCAAGTGTGCTGATCAAACTCCTTTCTGTGTCTTAAGTAATTTTATGTATATTTTTAACCCTGGAAAACCCGTGGGGTCAAATATGACCCCATGGTTTCCCTAGTAAACCAATGGGGTCGGATCTGACCCCATGGGTTCTCCAGGGTTAAATGAACCTTTTGAAAAACCTGGAGGTCCCACTGCAGCACACCAAAGTACCTATAGGGGTAACACTGGGTTAAAAGGTGTTTCCCACTTAAACACATTATAGCAATATTTGTGTTTTACAGCATCCAACAGCTGAATGGTGATAAAAAAGCATCATGTTGTTGACCGAGGCTCATCTCAGTACAGTTTTGTCTCAGTATGTGGCAGTACCTGCCCAGCCATCATTTCACCTCTACATGCTAAAGGGAGGAACAGGCTATAGGCCCACAAGTGTGAGTGACAGGTTGTCCTGCAATGGAGAGACCCAACACTTTCACTGGTCCCACCACTCTGGCAAATGCTGACCTTTCACTTCCTGACGCAGCAGTTGTATTTAACACAGCCACGTGCCCCTGGCGACCTCACACACATGCACACAAAAGTGTACACAGACACAGAGTGGCAGCTTTGTGTTGGTTAAAAAGTACTTGTAAAACCTGAACACAGAGAGGAAAAGCAGCCTGTGTGCAGGCAGTTAAAATACAGCCTACTAGCGTCTGGGGAAAAACAAAACATGGCATTGCTGTCCAAATGCAGAACCTATTTCACAATGTTTTTATTTACCAACGAGTGAAGAGACACTAAAAAAAGAGTCCCACGAGACATCAACTTTTTCTTTTATTTCAAAATATTCTCCCAACAGGATGAAACTCAGAGAAGCCCAGAGGGTCCAAAGCCAATAGAGCCGTCTAGAACAGAAGCACCACTCATTATTGCTATGTCACTCTGCTGCAGGACAAGGCGTTCAGGGGAGAGAGAAAAAGAAAGAAAGAAAGGAAAGGAAAGGGGGAGGAAACAAAGTCAAGCACAGAGACTCACAAACACATTCACTCCAGTATACACATACAAAAGGAGCTATGTGAAACACAGTGGTGGTGACTAAAAAGTAAGATTTTTAAAAAGCTGCAGATGTTCTCCATGGTGACTGTGGAACTGGTTTCTTGTGGCTCTGCAACCAAACTGTTGATATGCTCACCTTAGCCGTAAGGGGGTTACATCATGGTGTGACCATCATCCGATTGCAGGCAAAGTGCCAGTAAGTGATGTATTATAGAGAAGCATAACTACGAATGAAGGTAGAGCCGGTTTATAGATTAAAAAAAAGTCTTGTTTACAGCTCCTCTTGGGCAAAACAAAGAACATCTGCAGCTGTCTGATAAAACCACTTCATTCTGCCTTTCTGCTTCTAAGAGGCATACAGTATAGCAATACAGAATGCTGGGGGGAGGAGGAGAATGGAGCAAAAACAGGAGGTGGGGGAAGGAGTGTGAAGATACGGGAGGTGGGGCTGCTGGTTGTCCATCTCTACTATCACAAGTCTAAAAAAAATTCAGCATGGTACAAAATCGTCAGTAAAAAAAGATGCTTTGCTGCCATGGAGTCAGAGGGGGCGAGTCGATGGACGCGCCCGTGCCTTTACGCCTTCTCCTCGGTCGCCTCTTCTGCTGCTTCAGTTACCTGGAGGTGAAAAACACACATGCAGGTGTAGCCATTATTTACCCCAGGAGACTTAAGAGGGCCAATGAGGTACACAGAGGGGAAAACCCAACCAGTGAGTTGTGGTAACCAACCCTTCAAACAGTGTAGATCCAAACTTATTTTGCATAAAGATCACTTAATGCTTTGGTTTATTGTCTGTAGAGTAAAAGACTTTCCAAATGAGTTATCTGGATGGTTTTGCTAACAACTACAGGGAGTTATAGGGATGCTTGTCTGTGTAGAAATTCTAGGCTTATAAATATTTTAAAAGTTGAGCTAATGTGTTTTTTCACATCTTTATTAGCAGGTAGGACATGCACCAAAGCGGCTCGGGTCAAAAGCAAACCTATTTCGATGCCGCTTTGGCCTGGCAGCCACCCCAACCACTGAGCTAAATTAGCACCTGATTTATTTCACTTTTGTCGTATTGTTTCCTCGTTTTCTGCTGGGGATGCCAATAACTAGTTGCTATTTTAGTCTTCTTGCATTTTGTCATACTGTCTGTAAACATTGAGTGTAACAAAGGATAAACAGGTCACATCTTGGGTGTGAGACTGCGCTAAGTCTGTAAAATAAAAGCTATATAAATGTCATATTTTTAAACTCTTACCTAGAAGTCTTGTTTGATTCTTTACATTCAGTCTAGCGCATGTCTTTTTTAGGTCTTTACCAGTCTATCAGCATAGACATTTATGACAACCAATAAATGAAAATTTAAAAAGTAAAGAACAGACGGCAGGAACACGGTTTGCCCAGCTATTAGCACTCTGCAACTGCCAAGTTGGCAACAAATGTTTGGAACCCCACAAACACAACAAACGGCAGAGTTGAGCAGAGTGTAAATGAGTAAATAAATAACTACAGATAAGGGGTGGGTGATATTTCCTCAAAATTTCAAGAAAATCTATAATTATGATATTTCTGACGATAGAGAAAAAACAATACTGAACTACATTTTATTGATGCTTGCAGACAGCTGCGTTTCTACATTTTCCATCCTTTGTATCCAATGAGCCGTTGGCACTGATGGCACACTTCCTAGTTTGAAGTATTTAAACAAGGTGCCTAAGTAGTTTCCTCACCGGACATTTTAAGTATAAAATAATTGCGTAACGCTTTACTTTAACAATAACTAAAAATAAATCACATAATAAAAATGTAAAATATTTTCTCTATTGTATCTTGAACAAAGCTTTTTATTAGCTTCTTACAGTCCTAGTTTTACACCGTGTAACCACGTCAGTAATTTCCACCCATCGTTTGCTTTTCCTCTCATACGGAGTGCAGCTAGCATTACTTGCTGGAGTCATTTATGACAAGATAAGCAAGATATTGCGATATGACATTTTTCTACTACATAATAATAATACTACGGGATTATTGTGGATGTTGCTATATGCCGCAGCCCTACAACTCATGACAAATTATATATTTCATGTAACTTAAAGAAAAAAATATTTTGACTTATTTATCATGATTTTTATCTCAGATTTTTAAATGACCAAATATTGGTATCAGTATCGGTCTTAAAAATACTTTATTGGTCAAGCTGTAATGCTGTACCACTCATTTTTCTTAGACTGCACTTCTTAAATGTAGCCTATTATTGCTTATACTGACAAAAAGTTACAGATGGGAGGAACCAGGGATCAATCTACCAACCTCCCGATCAGTAAACAATCTATTCCAGCACTTGAATGAAGGCCATCTATGAGCTTGATAACACTTTTATGACTATATGCTGAATATTAAGCCAGAAGTAGCAGGTGGTTGGCTAGAAATGAACTACAGTCAGGAGATAGCGTAGCTTAGCATAAAAGCCACATACAGAAATAAAATTAGCCTAGCTCCATCCAAAGTTGTCAAGATTCACCTGAACACACCAACAAGATATTTCTATGGGCATTCAGACTTTAAAGGGGTTTAAACACATCCACTTTGCAGCTTTGAACTTTTCATGACATCTCCCAACAAAGGTGCATATGAGTACACAAACTCACAAACTGCTCTATCCAGGCAGAACATCACCTTAAACCACATGGAGTATTTCTGGTAGGGTAGATGCATCTGAAGCTGACTGTTTCCTGCTGTGGTTTACATGTCAGAAAGAAGAACTGTCAGAAATATCCCAGCCTGATTCTTCCCATTGTTCATGTGTAAAAATGGCTTATGCTAAGCTAAGCCTGGCTTCATTTGTACTGTACAGACACACAGAGAAAGTGCTATATTTTTTTTCATAAGGTAAAAGCAACCTATTTATCTAAATGTCAGGCTCTTTCTTTAATGGCTCAATTCATTTCCCCAACAAAACACCACATTTACTCACTTACTGCCAGCAGTGGCTGATTTCTATTTATGGACCTCTCAAACCTCCAGTAAATAAAAGCAGAACTATCAGTACTGCGATTCGACCGAAGTCAACCTTCAATAAGAAATTTACAAAGTCAGGCAGGTCAGTGTTCATGAGTTTCAAGGTAACATATGACCTCATTTGCCAATGAGGAGCTTCAAGCTGTTAGCTCAACTCATCATAGGTTAGCCATAACCTAATGAAGAAGATATGAAAATCACTTTATATCAAAATCAAATTTACTGTATTCATCTAAAACTGTCAATAAACAACCTGCAAATGTACAGATTTGTTATAGTTTTGTATTTTTTATATTACTTTTTATTTTTATTTCATTATGATTTCTAATTTAGCTGAAGTTTCCAGAGTGCATTCTTTTTTTTGTTTCAGTTGAGTTTTTAATGCTTTGTTTTAGTTTAATTTTTGTTAATTAAGTTGGAGTGTCTTAAATTTCTATTATTATTATTTTATGTTTTGACTCACAGTCTTGTGGACATCCAGTAAACATGTTCATCAAAGCCTCGTCAGGTGAGTTGTAATAATATTTTTGCTAAAGAAACAAATACTACATTTAAGAATATTTTCTCTATATTTTTTGTTAGTTTTCCAACTTTACAAAATTTAGTTTTCATTAGTTTTAATTTTTTTATTTTTTTGGTCAACTAAAATGTTTTTTAACGTCTACATTAGTTTTAATTAGTTATAATCATTTTGGAAATGCAGTTGATCGGTTTTCTCACCTGGGTTCTAGTTGCAGCACAAAGAAGAATTAGCAGCAGGTTAGAGCCAAGCATAAAAACATTCATACATTTTATGCATCACCAGCTGAATGCATGCAAACTCCAGTGACACCGTGACGCCCAGTTTGGGCTGCTGAAGCTGAGCTTCATGGTGGTGTTAGTAAGATATTGCTCAACAGGTTGCATACAAAATATACTCCTCAAGCAGATATTTGTACTGAGAAGTGTACTGAAAATCTGAACGTAAAGGTTATGAGTTTAGAAAAAGCAAACACGGTAATGTTGCCGGGTAAAAAGAAAGTCACTAGTGACACAGAAAACTCTGCCTAAAAGCTAAACATAGCTCGGTAACCTGTTAATCTCACCTCCCACTACACCCCTCTGGTCAACAGTGGAGTCAGCTGTTCGTGAACCAGAGCACATTTCACATTGCAGCTCTGTGAGCAGCAGCTAACCTTCCTGCTAATGGAAAAAGTTGTGTCAGACCCACTTCACTGCACACAGAGAGCAAGCAGGACATCCTTACTTCTTCATTGTGTTTCCCAAACACTCTAATAAACACAGCACTGCAAAGCACAGCGAGTAAATGTTTTCCCTGTTAACGCAGACGCGACTATTAGCAGCACGTTAGTGTCCAAACACACATACCAAAGACCAGTTAGAGACACTCAACCATACCCTTAACTCTGACTGTCTCACTCTGTCCTCTCACTGACATCATGGAGGGAGCCGTGCTTCTGATGGAAGACACACTGACAGACGGACGAGACACATAGATCTGTGTGTGTGTGTGTTTATGTGTGAGGGTATATCCATGTGAGCAAAAACAGACGTGTGGAGTATTTGTTGTAATTAATGTTCGTTTGTACACAAATTGACAGGATAAGGAAATAAAGATTATTATTTTTAGAACTGAATAGAATTTTCCTACATTTTATTTAAAAATTACATCATGTTTTTATTTTCCCCTCCTCATACCTCATTGGCCTTGGTGTCTCCATTCTGGGCAGGACCGTCTTCCTTCTTCCCCTTAGCGCCACCTTTCTTTGCCTTTGCCCCCTTATCATCTACCACCTTCTGCACAGAACAAGTGAGAATAACATAATGTGCATATAATGATAATTATAGTAACATTTTCTAAATCAGCATTGCAAAAGCTTCACAAGGGCAGCAAAGAGTCAATACACAGTGGTTACAGTTAAAAAAATCAAACTTGACTAAAACCAGGAAAGGACTTCTCTATTTTATATTGTATCTTAAAGGAAATAAGTGGTTCAGAAAATGACCTTTCCAGAGCTTTGGGGTGTTAATGCTCTATCCCCTTCAGGCTACAGCCAGGCCCCTGGAGGACACAAAGGATCTGCCCAAGGATCTCAAGGCAAGTACTAAGATGTCAGCTCAGAGCAAGGCCGTGAAGTAACCAATATAATCTTCCAGAATATACTGGGAGTTAATATAAATAAGGCTAAAGCTAGAGTGATGTGATTCTGTAAAAACTCAGTAACAGTACAGTAATGTACACAAGTCTTGAGCTACCCCCCATTTCTTTGTTTTTAAGTAAAAATAGCCTGAGTCGTTGCATCACAGTTAAGCCTGCTTTCAGTTTGTGTTTTGTTTTTCAAATCCAGCAGCTTTGGACAGTCATATAAACTAATACTAAAAGGCAGCCAATTTCCTCAGATTTTTGCAAATTATTACAAATAATTTAGTGTGTGTGTGTGTGTGTGTGTGTGTGTGTGTGTGTGTGTGTGTGTGTGTGTGTGTGTGTGTGATCTGTTTCACCTTGACGACAGTTTTCTTGGGCTTGGCCTCAGGCTTGGGTGGAGCAGGTCTCTGAAAATTACAATAAATAAATAAATCCTGTCAGAACTGATTCATGGTTCAGAGTTTATGAAGACATGTTGCTCTTATCTATATTATCTAGAGTTCTCTTTTCTCTTTACTCTTTGAAAGCAGTTTCAGCTACTTTGCTGTACAGAGTTATTCACTGAGATTAACCCAAAGCCTGCTGACTGAAATGTCTGCACTTGATCTTACTGTAGCCCAAATATTGATAAGGATTAAGTACTTGCACCATATTTCATAACCCATGGGCTTTCATCATATTCCCATGGGTTTTAAATATCAGATGTGGGCTGACCTAAGACCACTGTGCAATGATTTTATCAGATGGGAGCAAAGATTCTGGCCATTTTTTTAGGCTGCTGCGTGTGGACCATGTTACCCTGAAGCCACAAGCTACAGTAACGCTGCTGTGATGAAATGAAATCATGTGATTTATTCTCACAATATCTCTGTTTTGCTCAAGAAATGTCTGACACAGCACATGAGATCTAAAATAAAAAGCCTTGAATTAAGACAAACTGTGCTGAAGAGGGTCAATCCTGCTAGTAACAAATTGCCTAAAGATACAATTTAAAAAGTAAAGCTACAGCTAAGAAATTGCTTGCTAGGGTGACTTAGAGTTGAAAATAAAAGGATAAGAGGCACTTTAACTGTAGCTAAACCTCAGTCTACTTGGCGTTAGCTTGAATGAGGCACGCACAGCTTGTAGTGTAGATAAACCAACCTTGTGGCTACACAGACATGGTATCACATACCCTTTTTTTTTTTTTTAAAAAGAACTTACACCATACATTTTTTTGGTGCAAGTAGTTAATTTGTACCTTTGGACAAGCCTAGGTAGCATAAAGACTGGCTACCAGTCTTTATGCTAAGCTAAGCCAAGCTAACTGCTAGCATATCTAGCATACAGAAATGAGAGATGAAAGTGATAAAGATTTCCCATGAAACCCTTAGCAAGAATTACATAGGCTCAAAATGTCAAACTAATGTTTAAATCAAGGGTGTCAAACTGACAGAGAAGAACCAGCCCCTCAAAAGCTATTAAATGACTGCGTAAAGTGTGAAAGAGGCAGAGAATGCATTAATAACTCAGGGTTTTTTCTCTTTTTTCTTGGTGCTGAGAAACTTTTCAAAGCCAAAAAGTATGTCTAGATGTTGACAGGTTGCTTGAATAAGAAAGAATTAAATTGTGGCCTTTAACGAACAACTGCTATCTACAAATTGTGTTGCACATGTAATTAGAGGAGACTGACTACATATGCCAAAAAGAGATTTTGTTCAAATGAAAGAATTAAAGAGAATTCAGGCTGTTCTTCGCCAGTTTGATACCCATGATTTCAATAGCACATGCAAATAGACGGGGTAAAAAGACCCAGCACCGGTGGATTTAACATGCAAAGTACGCACACACAAACACAATGACTGCACGGCAGGGCTGCTAGACCACATAAAAATAACACTATATTTCAGATAACATTGTTTTAAAATGCCATTCACAATCAATAGCTTAATGCAAATTAGGCATAACGTCATCAAGGAAAATACTTATTTTCATCCACATGATTACAGAATTCATAACGCCACTGGTGGCAGTCATGCAGCCCTGAACATCAACAAGTTGTGCAACATACAACACTGAGAATGGGCAAAGACAACAGAGAGTAGACATGCATACCAAGCCAGGAGCCAGTCCTCTGGGAGCACATTTATGGAGCTCTTTTAATTGGCGATTGCCTTGATGAAATCCATAAAGGTCGAGAGGACTTTACTCTGAGCCTTGGTAATGTGACATGTTTTAGCCCGGCGGGATGAGGGGTTGACACTGAGAGGAAAGAGTGGACAGTGACAGAGGTGAAGACAGAGAGAGGGGAGAGTGAAACTTACCGCTGACAATCTCTCTGACCTTCTGGTGGGCTACCGGAGCAACAAATGATCAACAAGAGAGAGAAAGCGAGGGAGAGACAGTGACAGAGAGAGAGAGAAAGAGATATCAGTTGTACCTTTGCCAACTGCTCTCGAGACGATCTACTTGGTGACTGTTACACGTGTCCTAATCATTAACTCCTCATGTGAGTATTCTTTCACTCATACACACTCCACACAGCACGCGGAAACACTGCCACGCACACACACACAGCGCACACACTCACAAAGCGTCTACCTGTTTTGTGACTTTGGGGGCCTCCTTGCCCTCAGGAGCCTCTGGGGACTACAGGAAATAAAATGAACATATAAAAAAAGTTCAAATTTAATTTTTCTCATGCACAAGTGAATTATCTCTGTGAACCAAAACAGATTCCAGGATGTCTTAATGGAAATATCACTTACTACTCATGGTATAACACATCTGTAACAATACCTGAAACAATTAGCATGTTTTGATTACTTACAAAAAAATAATCCTCAGATATTATTTACATCACAATATTTGAGGATTTTATGATGGAGGAGGGGTTTTCTCGTTCTGGCCGAATGACAAGAAGAATGTAATCACAATTAAATTTAATCCTTCTTAAGAAAAGGATTCAAATAATTTCCCCCAGAAATCAATGGTCTTAAAAAAAATAATAAAACCACTGTTTAATGTTTCACATAATCAAAGCACAATTTCCATCACACGTGACCAAAATTATCCACAGATGCAAATCACATTATGTGATGATGATATATGATGATGCCACAATCTCTCTGGTTAATTCCATTTTTTTAATGGAGGCATCTTGCTTACGTGCAAAAAAAAAAGAAAGAAAAAAGAATAATGGACCATAAACATCGATTCACTCGGGGGAGGGCGCTTATTAACTAACAACACGGGCGTCATTTGTTGCTCCTAATGGACACCGTATTTCCCGGCTTCAGGTAGGCAGGGACGGCGCACGCGAGAAGCGCGCCCACTCCCACCATGAAAAAAAAACCCGAAAAAAAATATTGGTTTAGCTCGCAGGTTGACATTCACATTATTTGCATCATTTGCATGTGGCCGACCTCCGCCCCTAGAGGCCCCCCATTCTCTGTCCTCAAAGGCGAATCTGCGAGGACAATAGCCGTTTTTTTAGGTGACAGAAAAGCCAATTTCCATGTATGCGCTGATACAATGCACAGGAGCTTGTCGTGCAGTCCTGTTCAGATAAGAGCCACGGCCTCTTTTCACACAGCGGCGATTGTCCCTGATCCTTCCCCCCCTTTATTCCTTTCTCTTCATGGGGCTAAGGGCTCGTTCATTCTGCGTGGCGCCTGCCATATTCATCACCACCCGGAGAACCAAAATTAGACAGGGAGGCGGGGGGCTTTTATTTTATTTGTTTATTTAATATTACATATATCACGCATTATTAGGAATCTACAAGTCTTCTATATGAGTGAAATGCGCCCAGAAGAATGATCACAGCGCACGTCTCCAACAGGATTTACGCGTCCATCCATCCAGCGGCTCTAACATTCACCGGTGCGCACTGTGGACAGGGAAGTGGCAGGGGGGGGAAACGACCACAAGAACGGCCATTGGGATGAACACGAGGATTTATAATGAAAAAAGCCCCAAAACGTCGCATATAAAATATCCGTTATTAATAAGTGGGTGTTTAACGCCTACGCGTGAAAGGCTGCAGTCGAAAAGACGTTTCCTCAAACTTTGGCATCACCTCACCTGCCTCGACGTCGCCACAAAATATTATTCCCATTTTTCCTCGATTGCATGAGCTCGAAAAAACTACAGTGAAGTGTGCTGCACGCAGGGACGACACTCACCTTTCTCTTCGGCATTTTATGCGTCAATAATTCTCCACCGAGCAAAATAAAGGTCAAAGCCAAAGGGCCAAGATAGGTGAATTTGAACTACCTCGAAATACGGGATCAATATCTAAGCACCTTCGATAATATGTTGATTATATGCACTCCCCCAAAACTTACACCTTCCGCAGCCATTGGGCAGAGAAGTCAAAATCCACTCCTGTGCTGACTCCCGATTGGATCGTCTCGTCTCTATGTAAATAAGAGGGTCGCGGGCATTGGCCGAAATTTACCAGAGTCTCCCAACGATTGGCTACGCGCTCTTTGTGCGCAGATCCCTCCCGGTGAATCTGGGTAATGTAGGATGGGATAGAGAGAATCTTGTAAATAAAATACAAAGGACCAGAAAAAATGGGCACAATGGCACAATGTCAGCCACAGGCGAGATCCAGAAAAGCTGGAAGGTACTGTGTCTTGTAGGGGTTTCCCTGCTACAGAGAACTAGAGAAATCATACACAACGTTTCTGCAAAAAGGTTGTCACATTCCCTTCAGGAACGTGATGGTCTGTAAAACGATGCAATACGGGGGGTGGGGGTGTGTGTGTACTGTGTTAGATTTCAGCGTGTCAGACAGGGTTACGAATATTGTGCACAAGTGCTTTTTTTTGCATTTGTATTTGCATCCTAGAAATAAAGTCAGAATTAAATCAAGTTATAGATCACGAAACCAAATCTGTCATTCATGTGCACAGTACAATTTTTAACATAACATACCTTTGAATTTAATTACCTCTTGGGAAGTTTTAGGACCCCTGTAGTCAGGCAAAGGATTCACTTGTAATCCCAGCTTTCCATCTGGTCAGCCTTGGTTGCCCCAAGTGAACTCAGATGACCCAAAACTGCCCTCCTGAGAAGCCAAATTGCGCACTCATCATGACCCGAAGGACAAAATGAACCCAAGGTAGATATTAGGTATAACAGTGTTACTGACAGTGGAGGCACCATCAAGAATACAACTGTGTTCAGAATTTCAATTTCATTTATATATTTATACATTTCTATAGCACCAAATCACAATGACAGTTTCCTTATAATGCTTTATATTGTAAGATAAAGACTCTACAATAATACAGATAAATCCCCATAATAAGACGACCAAGAGCCTTGGTGACAGTGGGAAGGAAAAACCCCTTTTTAACAGGAAGAATCTCCTTTGCTTGATGGATGAATGGCCTTTATAAAAACTACACATTTTGTGCAACTACATGCAGATGATTTGAACACAGAGAAAAACATTTGAACAATTCTGTAGAAATTATTTATTAATTGTCATTAGACTTTTTTTTACTAGTGGTGGCTTATAATATATTTATTTATTCTAGGAGCCATGACACTTTGTTCTTTTGCCTGCTTTCTTCTTATGGACAAAATAAACCAGAATGACAAACACCTATCGCCTGGAATGAACTTCTTTTTGATGCATGCATCACATCCTCTTAGTACATCAGCAAGTACTGGAAAAAAATGCCATTCACATTTTCTAAGAGGCCAAGGTGCTACCTTCAAGCAGCTCAAATAAAGAAGAAAAAACATTTCCTTCAACCATCCAGTCAAAGAAGTCAACCAAATACTCAGGATAGAAGGTGTCAGTTCATTTCTTTTCGCTAACTTTCTGTTTCTACTCCAAATCTGAGCTAAATCTCGTGATGTTCTAAATTACACCGCTACAAGGAGTTTAATTTTCTATTAAAGCTTTAAAACAGGCGTTTAACTGTTTAGTGCTCCCATGAGTAGGTATAGTCAATTTTGAACTTAGAAACAATAAACATCCAGAACTTACAAAGCAACTGTTTTCAGCATATTCTACAATATACAAATGCACATATTGCACTGTTTTGACACACAATAGCCATAAAAAAAACTGCACAGAAATCAACAAAAGGCACATTCTTGTTCAACATAACAACAGACAGAGAAACGCACAGAGAAACCAGTTTTACAATAGGCAGAGCTTTCCTGCCCTAAACAAGCCAACAAACAAAACCCCTGATTTCCACACAGGTATGAACGCACAACCGCTGTAGAAGCCAACCAACCCAGAACCAGCTTGATGGGAGCTGCTGTGTTCCCACATAGATTGACACAGTCAGCTCAACGGAAGAAAAGAAAATCACAATGGGGCGCATCTACAAGCTTATATATACAGACAGAGAGTTTTTAAAAAATCAAGGAAAAACCTGAACCCACAAGGCCACGGGGTGAAAGATGACACAAGTGTGAAAACTGTCTGAATCATCAGTATGCTGCACAGGCTTGTACGGGCACCATTTGAACTGTTTCCAATAATCTGCCACTGATGTGAACGCAAAAGATGCAAAGCAAATACATTGTCTAAAAGGTTAAATTAATAGAATGGAACCATATCTGTGTAAGTTAACGTAAAGAGAGAGAGTTGTGTTCACAGCAGGCCAGTGAGATTTTGCAAATTTTGTGTTTGGTTGACTTCAGCCAATACAAAATAGTTTAGGTTTTAAAGTTTACCGTGTTTAATGAGTTTCACTTCTGCTTAAATATCCAGTCAGTGGGGCAAACATGGTTACTTTGTTTCTCTTTTTTATTCATTGAATCACTGATTTCTTATCGCCTTACTTCCTGGTGAATTCTTTCACCTCTGCTGGTCAAAATGAATCTATGTTCCACACCGAACTTTTGAAAATGCAATATATACACTAAATCATGCGTATCATGGATGTTTTCTCCAGGTACTCCAGCTTCCTCGCAAAGACAGCCTGGAGACCTGTCCATGTTGTATCCTGCCTTTGACACTATGACAGCTGTGATAGGCTCCAGACCCCTGTGCCCCTGAATTGGGTAAATGGAACAAAATGGATAGATAGGCTGTATTAAAAGGAAAGATTAGGCCTTTAGAGCATGCTAACATCTCTATAAGGCTGTTCAAAGAGATGGACAACTTATTAATGTATCCGGCTAAGTGCCTATAGTCTGATAAAATAATGTTCACATGTTTAACAAATATAATGTTTATTCATAGTCTGTATCTAAAAGATGGAAATTGAAAACATGGCGTCACCCGTTGGTCTGAAAGTCTTGCTTTGTAAATCTGAAGCTGAGCATTTATCGCCAACCCACCTTTTTTGAAAACAGACATTGTGAGTGAGGCATTGATCTAACTGACAAACTGAGGACAGCTCACGTTTATAAGTTAGCGACATGCAATAAAAGCCTGACAGCCCCAGTTTGTCACCCCTTCTTGTAATGATGGAGAGATAATGTACAAAACCAACATGATTGTTTTATTTCATAAGACTTTAAGCTTGAAACTGGGAACATAAACTTATTGCAAAATGTTTAACCGAGGTCATGGTTTATGGCAGCACAGGGTCATTTGCCATAAGTACAGCGCCTCTGGGTGACATAATGAACACTCAAAAGTTGGTATAGACATTAAACACAAGTGATATTACTATTGCTCTGATAAATTTAAATCAAGCAGAACCAAGCTCATTCCTTTTAAGCTATATTAAGTCATAATAGAGGACATGTTCAGCCTGATCTTTAGTTTGTTTGATGGGGGTGGAACAGTGGTTAACATTGTTTTCTCATAGCAAGAAGGCTTGAATGGCTTGAAAGGCTTAGTTCCCTGCTGGGGCCTTTCTGTGTGAAGTTGGCGTGTTCTTCCTGTGCCTGCGTGGGCTCCCTCCAGGTACTGTAGCTTCCTCACATAGTCCAAACTGGCCATAGGTGTGAATGTGGGCAGAAAAGATTGTATGTTTCTCCATTAGCCCTGTGATGGCTCCAGGGGTCTAGATATTAAGACTGTTTGTCATTGTGACCGTAACATCTTTGTCTGGGCTCGCTGATAAAATATCTAAGATCTACAGCTGGATGACAAGTTAAAGTATAAATCAGCACAAATATTTAACCTCATATGGAACCATTGTCCTTTCTTTTCCTGCAATTTGTCCCCTGCGTTTCCTCCTGCTTCAGCCCACTTTGAATGAGAACTAGAAAAGAAGGAGAATCCACGCCTGCACAGGGAAAACATGCAAACTCCCCACAGAAAGGCCTCGGCTTTTCCAAGAGCTGTCTTGCTGTGAGCAGCCGTGTAAACAACTTCCCCACTATACCACCCCTGGGAACATTAGACAACAAAAGCTGAACTTTATGTACCCATGAAGCTTTTAATCATCCCACATGATGATAAAAGAAAAAAAGGAAGTCTTCCACTTTTTCTTAAATTCCAGTTTCTTTGGGCTGTGCTCAGGGCTAAATATCAAATTATGCTTGGTCAGTTAAGAAGGTCAGTGTGTTCCTTTTATACAAATAAAGGCACAGTTTATCAAATTAATACAATATGGGTTAACTTTACCCCCACACTCCTCTGACAGATTAAACACACCGTGTCTGTGTCTGATTAAAATTTGGGTTTCCATATTCATTGTACTATTCCAAATGAGAAGGGAAACCGAATGACTCGCTGAAGCAGCACACATCAGTAAAAGAGCCGAGGCTGCCTCTGCAGACACGGAAGTGCTCGTCAGCAAGTCAGAAATAGTCTCGCTCTCACCACGCAGTGACATTATTGAGATGCCATATTTCGTTGTAGAGAATGTGAAGAAAGCCAGACCCAGGCCCAAATACACCCGCATGTAGGCAGGACGTGACTGACACCTTGTGGACAATCTTTTGCATGATTATTATAGATGAATACTGAATTACAGAGGATTGAAAGTCATTTTAATATGCGCACCGCATACAAGCCCAATTCCATCCACTGAAACCTTTTTCTAATAATCTCTGTAATAATAGCAAATAAAACTCTTCATATTTCTTTTTCCCACTTTCTTCTTCTGCAAGGAAATTTAATAAGCACATTCTGAAAAAATTCACAATTAATAAGCTATCTGCTTTTTAAAATGATGATCAGGAACCTAAGATCTCATATCTGATATGTGTCACAGCAACACAGACTCCTTACGCTTAAACTGTAACACATGAAGCCATAAAGAAAACAGAAAACGCAATGAAAGTTGAACATGAAGCACTTTCATTAATTCATACAAAATTTGCAGTAAATAAAAAATAAAACAAAATAAAATAAAAAGGTGTTATATGGCAGTATGGCATGCCAGGGTGCCTGTCAGGTAGAGAG